AATAGTTTTAAGCCGAAGAGTTGGGAAATGTCAAACAGTTAAGGGCAGAGATATAGCAAAGAAATGTAAAGCACACTTATTAATTTTTGGGTTAATTTCAAAATACTGCTACTATTTATTTCTTTTATAACTTATGTTTAGAGTAAATACAAATATTTCCAAAGTTTTTGTATATTAAGCATATTTTAATGACATTATTTTCTATATACATTTGATTACATTGCATTTTCTATATGTCAAATAGTTTTGGTAATCAAATACATATACATATAAAATAATAAAACCCACAAAAATGCAAAACTTTAATATTATACAAATACCATGTATTCACTGCATATTTTAGGTTGTGTGAAATATTTCAAATTTCATTGCCTAACTTTAGTCATAAAGCAAATGTTATATGTTTGCATATTTCTCTCCCATACATATGTAGAATCCCCGTAAATAGTTTTACACACACACACACAAAAGCCCCTAAACAAATTAATCAATTTATATAAGACTATCAAATAATAATAATATTTGAAAAAATATACAGAATTTTGCAATAAATATTTTATGTACGCCTCAAGTTATGCTTTATCAAATGCAAATAATTCCAATAATATTTATTTGTATAGGGAAATATTATTGAATCTAGAAATAAGTATTCGTATTATTTATTGTAATTATTTATTGCATTTTATATCACATATGAAAGTGACACTTAATTAGTTTTAGGAAATGTAAAATTTTTGGCTTTGTTATAAATTATTGTTGATGTTTAATTTAAATGTGTGTATGTGTGTGTGTATAGAAAATATTGTGTGGCAGCAATTATAAAGAGTAATTGTATTATTTGTAAACAATTAAAAGTGAAATTATAAATCCGAAATGCCAAAGGACTTGCATATATTCAAACAAGTAGTCAAACCCGGAATATAAAGGTGTTCTTGTTATAGAATGTGGTTCAGAGATTATTTATACAGTATCTAAATAATGATGGAGTAAAGACTGGTTAAGTCTCTCTATAAAGACAGTAAACAAAGAATATAAAGAAATTGGGGCTTGTCAGTTGGTACGTAAAGGAGTTGTCATTCGGTACCTAACTCTAAGTATGTATTGGTAGAATTTTTGTATTAGTATTGGAGCTCCAACCACTTTCACCACACTTTCCAAACATACATACTTGCATAAAATCGTACATAAAAATTTTAGGAAAAATAAATAACATTTAAATTTCTACATTCGCAGATTTTTTAATTTATTTTGCCCACATCTAATCAGTAAACATTTAATAAATATATTTTTCGGACTTAAAATCTCTTTTTTTGCTCGTCTGTGAAGAGAAGGAAATGTTATTGTTGTAAAACAATGTCATAGTCCAACTTCTTATTATTCTTTGACAGTAAACCTTTTTACACCATGAAAGTCTACATATCGATTGAAAGCAAATTACAGAAACAAACGCAACGAATCGGATTTTAATATCTCAATGAATTTCTATATAATGGAATTTGGAGCCACAGTATTCAAAGTTTTTGAAGCTTACTATCAACATACTAAACTCTCAAAATGAAAGCTTATATTAACAACAAATATTTGTCAAAAGTTTGGTAAAAAATACATCAGAACTAATAAAAAAAATTTACATTCTAAGCTTGAATTTGATCAATGAAATATTTAATTGTTTACAAGCTAATGTAATCCTTCATTGTATTGATGAAGAATATTTCATTAATAATATGAACTACTTTTTCGGCCCCACGGTGAAACTGTTTCATTAATGAAATGAAATTAGTTATAGAAGCAATGAAAATATTTCATAAATAAAACAAATTATTGCACTAACTCAAAAACTAAGATGGATAGACGGACATAGGTAAATCGACTCAGAGAGTGATTCTGAGCCGATACTTTAAGGTGGGTGTAAGACCAATATTTTGGAGTGGTACAAACAGCAGCACAAACGCTTAATACGCTCCCCACTATAGTGGTTTAGAGTATAGTTATAGACAGTTATTAGTCCTTAACTCGGGGCTCTATCATTCCTTTAACCGACATACAGATAGACATATCCAGATGGTCTTATAATTGTACAAGGATCCCGAATACATGTAGTTATTGAGTGATCTTCAGATGTGTTACAAACGGAATGACAAAATCGGAATAACCCCGAAATTTCGTCGGCGGATTTAACAACATATAGTAAAGCGTGGGCATCGATAGAGATGTCTGTAAGTGAGGTTTTAATAGTTTTCAAGATAAGCTTGTGTTAAATGTGGTTTAATGTTTGTAACAGAAATGGGAAGTTTAAATTTGACACAGACATGAACTAGACAACGGTCTAGTCATCAGATAAATTAGTCTAGCACATGGACTAGTCTACATAGTAGCCAACAAAACTAGTCTATGTTCTTGCCTACGAAAGAGTTTACAAACTACTCTATGGATTAGTAAAAAAGCCTGTTTAGGAACTATTCTATAGACCAGTCGAAAGACTAGTCTATGGATTAGTCTAAGGATGAGTTTATCCTAAGTATGTACTAGACAAAAATTGATGTTCTAATCGATGGAATTAATCGACAGACTAGTCTATATATAGCAGCAATAGAGCTTTTCTAGCTTTCATGCTAATAGACTATGGGTGTATAGACTAGAGTTCAGGCTAGCCAACAGACTACTCTATGAACTACACTAGAGTCTAAAAATTAGACAATAAACTGGCTTACGGACTAGTCTATAAACTATTTAACGGACTAGCCCAAAGTCTAATCCCTAGACTGATTAGTCTACCGATGAGTTTATGGTCAAAGGGCTAGTCAACAGACTATTGTATGAGCATGCTAGATAACAGTCTAGTGCTAATAGCTCGGCGAGAGCTAATAGTTATTTACGATTTAGTCTATGTAAGATCGGTAGAGCTTTTCTAGGATTCATGCTGATCGACTGGTCTTGTCAACGGACTATTCAACATACCAGCTTACGGACTAGTCTATAATAAGTCTACCGATTAGTCGAACAGAGTATCCAATAGACATACTAGACAACACCCAGCAGTTCGGTAGGACAGTCCCGAACTACCTATTTAGCTTAACACTTAGGGTTACCCCCAGCCACCGAATGTCCAGATGACTAGCTATTTTAACATGTTCTTGTCCTAGGAAGTCAATCGTCACCCCATAGATTATGAAGAGACAGTCAAAAGGTAAAGTGTCCCCACGCTTACAAAGAGGACACTAAGGTGGTGATTATCTTCACCCTCGTTTACAAAGAGTACAACCGTGTCGAAGGACGAATTAGAGTCAACCAGGTGGTTAGACGTTAGTGAAAATCACTGTCTTTTTCGGATGCATTGACTCTTTGTCAAACTGTAGGGCAGACTATCCGATGGACTAAACGCTGCACTAGAGGACGTCTAGTTACAGTCTATGGAAAACATACAAATGCAATGAGCTCTGAAATGAGATTTCCTGTACTCTTTCTTTCACACATCCGTATGCTCACACAAAACCAGTAGAGAACTAATTTCTTACTCTCTGCTACTGTCAGATGTAAAAGCCTTAGAGCTTTTCTAGATTTCATGCTGATTTTTGACTTCTACCGTGTGCTTGTTCTACGAGGAAGTTAATCATCACCCCATAGATTACGAAGTGACAGACAAAAAGCTTAATTGTCCCCACTCTCGCTTACAAAGGGGGCACTAAAGCGACGATTATCTTCACCCTCGTTTACAAAGAGTACATCCGTGTCGAAAGACGAATTAGAGTCAACCAAGTGGTTAGACATTAGTGGAAATCACTATCTTTTTCGGATTCGGATAATCCGTGGAAAATCTTTATATACTTCGTACTAATCAATATACAAGTCTAAAGACTAGTCTATGGGGTTGACTATGGGCTAGTCTACGGTCTAGTCTAAGGACTAATCTTCGGACAAATGAACGATCTATTGGTTAGCCTACGAAATAATCCACGAACTAGTTTATGAAATGATATATGAACTAATCTAGGTACTAGTCTATAGACTTGTATATAAACTAGTTTGTGGACTTGTCTATAGATTTGTATATGAACTCGTTTGTGAACTTGTATGTGAACTATTCTATAAACCGGAATGGAGTGTATTAATGGCAGTTGTTGGTTGTTGAAACTATTTAGTAGTAGTATAACTATGACAGAGAACAAGTACTTCTTCAATAAGCTGGATATATATGGTTCCGTAAAAGTATCCCAATACAGTTTAAGAAGATATGTGATATACGGTCTAAATGAACTGCATATCAAATTAAGTTAAACGACCTTCCTATTAACTATTCTTAACAGAAAATCCAATAATTATATCGCAATTTATAAAAATTTCTTCGAACTAATTTCATATTTAATATGCCGCAAAAATAATAATTAAAACGAAAAGTAATTAATATTACAAAATCATTAAAATTATTCAATATGAAAGAAAACCATAAAAATTATTTAATATGAATAAAATCATAAAAATTATTTAAAAATTTCTGCTTTTTAAACTATACATTGCACACAAGTTTTAATCCCAAAAAGTATGCTACTTTAACAAATGTATTTAACTATTTTCAAGCAGCAAACTTAAAACAAATATATAATTTTATATACAAACACACAATGGATTTTTTTTATGAAAAACCCTTTTAAAGTATTTAATTAAAAACTTAAATAAAAATCGAAGTTTATAGCAACAATAAAGTAACCAGCTAGTAGCTTATTTAACTCTTTGCATTATGCTTTTAGTAACATTACTTTGTAAGCCCTTAAAGTATACTTTAGATTTTTATCTTTTGGTTGGTACTAGTTAAAGTACATACTTTAGTTTTTATCATCAATAGCACTGCAACAGTATGCTACGAGTTTAACAATTTTGATTTAAAAACAAACTGTTATTTATAGAGAGAGGGAGAGAGATACAAAAAATAAATAAAGAGGAAATTGTACATTTCAAGTAAAACCAATAAATATGTAAATAAAAACCCTATTTAAATACTATAATTACGTTGACTTTTCAGCAGCATTGCCCCCACCACCACTGCAGCTGGTCGACCAACTACTGCTGCTGCCGCTGTTCGTTTTAGTGCTTTTATTATTTTGCGCTAAGGACGGCCATTGACGTTTAATGACAGCAAAATGTGTCATTTGAAATGTATTCGTTTGCTGACATCGTCGCTCAACGAAACCCGTCAGACAGTAACCCATATTATAGTCTTCCATCGAAATGTTTGAACTTAAATACAATTTAAATTCATCATTATCCTTTGACGATGATGATGCCAGTGGCGAGCACAATGTTGTGGTTGTCGATGTTGTTGTTGTTGAAGCGGCAGATGTTGTTGATGCTGCTGCCGACATCGAGGATGCTGTTGAGGCAGATGATGATGAATTTTTACTGCGAAAATGACCAACGATTAGTAGAGAACCTTTCTGTTCAAGTGGCACCATTTTGGCTTTGGTAACCTGACGTTGAGTGCCCGCAAATTCTTCAATACGACAACGATTGGGTTGCCACCAACAGGGCGTTATAGTCCAATATGAGGAGGATGCTGTACGTGCCCAACCCTCTTCGGGATAAAGTAATATCTGTAAGAAAAAGAACAGAAGAAGAACCGGAATAAATAAAACTTAATAAAAACATGTTACTTTCTTTGTGTAAGTGCAATTTTCAGATTCTGTTTTTATAAAATACCTATTTGCCTTACATGTCAATTTATTTTTATCAATATTAGAAGCACTATTGTGGGTTTCTTCTTCCCTAAAGCCCTCAATACCCCATTGTCTCCTTAAATACTGCACCTTCCCTTACACCAAGTTTCACTGCCTTCCTTAAACAACTTAACTCCAAAACTCCTTCCTTAGTAGTTTAATAAATTTATTGCCACAGTAATTGTTTCATAAGACTAACTTTAGTGCAGCTTAAATATTATTATTCTTTCTTCAGTCTCCCTTAAAAAAAGAAACTTTATTCTCTTTTTTTGTCTATAATTTTCGATTTTATTTTAATGGTAAAAGTTTGTTCAAGCGTAAGTGGCCATTTCCCCATTTATTTCAACTTCTGTTCAATTCATTCAAAATCAAATATTATATTTTAATGTATTTTCTTTATTTGAAATTTATTCCTTCTTTTATTTTATTTTCTTTTATTAACATTTTACTTTTACTAATACCAGACAAATGTTTTCATATTGCCAAAAGTCTTCAAACAATAACTTTTCATTTAAAACAATCTTTAATTGCCAATCAGTTGTAGGAGGTGGCCATACTTACTAATTTCCATTTTATTACTTTTTTTTACCATTTACTAATAGTAACAGTTTATGATTTTTTAAGGGCAATTTGTAATTGAAATGATTGAATTGAAATTTTAATTTGAATAGACTCATATCAACATACATTTTATACTTCGTGGCTAAACGAAGCGAAATATCCGACAAAAGCTAGTCCCTAATTCAAAATTTGATTTAAATATGTTCGGGAAAAGTACTTTGAGTCTTCTGAGAAATACAGGTCTTTTATATCAAAGCATGGAACTTAATAACACGATCCCAAATCTTTAGCCTATAATTCTTTATTTAGGATCGCAGTTCATGGACTGTGATAATGATCTTACATATATGTATATAAGTTATGTAACAGTGTTTTCCCATTGTTAAACGTTTTCTTAAAAAGTTTCAAGATTACTGTGAATCGGAACAGTATTTAACATAGATTTGAGGGATTCGATTCCCACCTGAGGAAAAGGCCAGATGAAGGCCTATGTGTATTAGTTTGATGTTAAATAAGTACATCCTCGTTACTAACTAACTAACTAACTAACTAACTAACTAACTAACTAACTAACTAACTAACTAACTAACTAACTAACTAACTAACTAACTAACTAACTAACTAACTAACTAACTAACTAACTAACTAAATAACTAACTAACTAACTAACTAACTAACTACTAACTAACTAACTAACTAACTACTACTAACTAACTAACTAACTAACTAACTAACTAACTAACTAACTACTAACTAACTAACTAACTAACTAACTAACTAACTAACTAACTACTACTACTAACTAACTAACTAACTAACTAACTAACTAACTAACTAACTAACTAACTAACTACTACTAACTAACTAACTAACTAACTAACTAACTAACTAACTACTAACTAACTAACTAACTAACTACTAACTAACTAACTAACTAACTACTAACTAACTAACTAACTAACTACTAACTAACTAACTAACTAACTAACTAACTAACTAACTAACTAACTAACTAACTAACTAACTAACTAACTAACTAACTAACTAACTAACTAACTAACTAACTAACTAACTAACTACTAACTAACTAACTAACTAACTAACTAACTAACTAACTAACTAACTAACTAACTAACTAACTAACTAACTAACTACTAACTAACTACTAACTAACTAACTAACTACTAACTAACTAACTAACTAACTAACTAACTAACTAACTAACTAACTAACTAACTAACTAACTAACTAACTAACTAACTAACTACTAACTAACTAACTAACTAACTAACTTAACTAACTAACTAACTACAACTAACTACTAACTAACTAACTAACTAACTAACTAACTAACTAACTAACTAACTAACTAACTAACTACTAACTCTAACTAACTAACTACTAACTACTAACTAACTAACTAACTAACTAACTAACTAAACTAACTAACTAACTAACTAACTAACTAACTAACTAACTAACTACTAACTAACTAACTAACTAACTAACTAACTAACTAACTAACTAACTAACTAACTAACTAACTAACTAACTACTAACTAAAACTAACTAACTAACTAACTAACTAACTAACTAACTAACTAACTAACGAACTAACTAACTAACTAACTAACTAACTAACTAACTAACTAACTAACTAACTACTAACTACTAACTAACTAACTAACAACTAACTAACTAACTAACTAACTAACTAACTAAAACTAAACTAACTAACTAACTAACTAACTTACTAACTAACTAACTAACTAACTAACTAACTAACTAACTAGAAAACAAATAAACTAACTAACTGGTCCAATTTAACTTGGAGGTCATACACCTACTAAATGATCTGTTCATATCCGTATCGGGGGTGTACTTAACGACACCCATGGCTGTATCCATCTTGTATCTGTTGATAAATACTGCAAATCCATCAAACCGTTTATCGGATCGTGGCTCTAATAATGTGATGTGAAACTCCACATGATTTTGATTAAAAAAAATATTTTAAACATTTTTGTGCGATTTACTCGCAAGGGATCTGGCTGTCACACTCGCTGCATAGTGCTCTATAGGAGACATATATAGTAGTGGGATGTATTTCCGATAGTAACAGTTATGCCAAGAGAGGCACAACTTTGACCTCTATTAGATGTCTTTCTATACCCAGCAGATAATCAAATCCATTCCTCCAACCTCCAATTCTTGCCATCAAACTCAACAAGGGCTTGTAAACTCATTTGATCTTGTGCTCCAACAGTTTCAAAATATTTACATCATTAACAAGATTTTACTATTGAATAATCCACCTGAATATTTTCTCTCAAAAGTTTGTTTACATTTAAAATTAAATAAATATGTATGTATACATATTTCTCACATAGTAAATTCATAAAATGAGACAATATATTTAAAAATTTTTATTAAAAGTGACATATTTATTACTTTTGATAAGTATCTGCTGCATTTAAACAAAAACACAATAAAACGCACAAGTTTACACAAAAATACGCAGATTTTTTTTTTGTACGAATTTTACGCATTTACACACAACAAATTTCTGTTGCAGACAGAAATAACTTTGTTTTTATTACGATTTAAATTTTTATTGTTTTTGTTTTTATTTGCAACTGATTGGGCGACATTAAATTGTAATGAACACAGTTATAGTAGCAAGAGATGCAGACAGATCCAGGCGCTTAAAACGAATAAATGAATGATATTAAGTATACGCACACGTGTTTATTGCGTATTGTGTATCAGTCTGTCAGTGTATGATGTACCCAGGAGTTTTGAAAGAGTTAAAGGGATAAGTAGTTTTTTTTATCGGTAACAGTTGTCACGTAAATATTGTCTTATAATCTAACTTTTTAGCTATTGTCACTTTTGAGTTCCTGAATAATCTAAAAAGAGGCATTTTTATAAATATAAAATGTCCTTTTGTAGAGAATTATAGTTATAAGCTGAGAACTGCCGGGTATATTTGTATGTGTGCGTATAATTTAATTTAATTGGAAATAAATGTACTCTACACGAGACTAATGGTGGATGTAATTGAAGAAGAAAAATAAATGTATAGTTTCATTTATACTCTCAAACTACCTTGTGTGTAAAACCATAAGTGAAGGTTGCACATGAAACTGAATCTGTTTAAATAAGAAAAAATCGACAAAAGTGGACAAATATTTATTTAATTGCGAAATTCTATGAAATAAAAGGACATCATTAAAATGTAATTTTAAAAGGGATAGACAGACAGACAGACACATTTTTAAAGCTGTCACAAGATTAAGCAAGGAGTGATATAATGTTTATGTTAATAAACGGAAATAAGACAAAATTTTGTTAAGAAACTGTTTTAATAGGTTAGGTTAGATTGATAGGAGGATGTATCTACATCAATTCCGAAGATATACACCTACGCCACTATCGGCCCTGTTGTGCGCTATTTTTCATGGAAAATGTTTGTTAGTAAAAACAAAGAAAAAACCTTATATAGTATTCACTGAAATATATTATCGTCCGATGTTCAGAAACTCAGTTTCCTGGGCGTAATTCCTAAGAATTTTCCAATCAGTGTTCGTAAGGGATATTACATATATCCGGAATAATATCACTTCCAAGATATTTGGATCTAATTTCGACGAATTCCTAACAATGGCAAAGAAAGTGGTTTCACTATCCTCTCTACATGCTCTACATTCGTCTGAATCCGCACGTCCAATTTTGTATAGGTGTGCCCGTAATCCTGTGTGCACTCAGAATAAGTACCATCATACTAACCTCAGACTTGTTTATTTTGAGGAGGCTTCTCGTCCTGCTCTCGTTAGGGTCACCACATAGGATCTTTGTGGTTCTACCCACGGTTTCATTATACCAAGAGACCTTATGGGTTTCTCTCAGCCATAATTTTAATTCTGCCCTCGTTGCGTCAAATGGTTTTGCGTTCGTCAGGTAAACTATCTCGAGTTCTCTTCCCTTTAAAGCCTACATCGGCAGAGAGTAAAAAATAAGTTCTCTAAGAGAACTTCTCTTACAGGTTTTTATCGTTTTTTATACATGTGTAAGCATACAAGCGTGTGAAATTAAGAGTGCAAGAAAGCTCTTAACAAAGCTCTTTGCCGATTAGGGCTTTAAAGCTATTCCATTCGCTCTTTCATTGCCGACTACTGGTACCCATACGATGTGAACCTTACCTCTGGGATAGTATTCGGTTAGAGCTTTTTTACAATCCAATATGGTTTTAGATTTAACTTTATCACCTGATATCGCCTTAATTGCCTTCTGACTGTCGCATTCCGTTATTGCTG